CTTTTCCACGTATTCTATTGCGATGAAAAAGCGACGTTTGTTCACTACGAACGTGTATACATGTTCGTGTTCAACAACGCGAATATTGAATAAGGATTATTACGATCGCACTCTCATATACACGTAATTACAATAAAAATATCATAGTTATGATAAATAAATTACATTTTGTCAAAGTTCTGTCATATATTCACATGACAATCCACTGTGGATTGATCTTCATATTGTGAGAGAAGCTTATCAGTTCGATATCATTTCTCTCTTTATTCAAAAATAATATTATTGAGCAAATAAAATTATTTAAATGATTACTCGAACAAGTTTTCATCAAAATAATCTCATATGACTTTGGATTATTTCAAAAAAAATAATATCATTGCAGTTGTTTCGTTACATTTTCACAAATTAATGAAAAAAAATTGTTAACGATATGAAACTGATTAGTTTCAGCTATTTATAAGAGAAAGCATGTTTTTAGTATTGATTAAAAATAATTTTGCGAACGTCATTGTTGTTTAGAAAAAAATCGTTTGCATAAAACAATGAATTTATTTTTATTAATAAGATTTTTCAATATCTTTATATTACTAAAATATTTTAACATAGGACATTATGTAATCAAAGACTTTTGAACCTTAATAATTATCGTATGAAATTGTCTAATCGATTTTATTTGCCATTCTTTCTTTCTCTATCACTAAACTTTTTATTATTGTAAAGATAATCATAGTTGAAAACAATCAAGTATGTTTTTCAATTGATAAAACTCTATCTGAGATCTTTTTTTCCACTGTAACTTACATTGAGAAAATGTAAAAATATATGTCTGATATACAATCGACAATTTCCTTTTTTCTAATTTATTTTTAAATCTTTCAACATCAAATAATTTCAAATCTTCACAAACTGTAGTGTTTTCAATTCGATAATCATAATGATGAAAAAAGAAAAAGAATTATTTTATATTTAATTGATTCAAACTATAAATCTCTTTATATATACGATGAACAAAATTTCTATTTTCTAACTATTGGTTTTGAACAAATACAATTAAATCAAGATTAAAATGATATAAAACTAATGAATATATTTTTATGAAATATATTTTCATAATTTATATTAGAAATGTTATTCATATATGTTTGATTTTGCTGTATAGAATCTTGAGGGTGTGGGTGTGGGTGAAGTTGAAAGTGTGAGTGTGTGAATCTATTCTTCATATGATACCCACACTCACACCCAAACCAACATCCAAGTATTTCTCGTTTTATTGATAGTGCTGAATGAAAAAGTTATTAGGATACTTCCATTCTATTCTCTTGGATTATTTCATCGATTTATTCAGATGATTCTTTTGGAATAAGTTAGATTTCACAGGATTTAGTTAAATCTATAATTGGTATTGATGTGCTTTGAGATGAATATTGTGAAATAAAATGGGAATATTTTAAGCAAGTTTAATATAATATTCTATAAGTTTTTATTATTAAAGAAATAGAATCTGTTCGGTAAGGTGTAGGTGTGAATATAATTCAGCCATCCATATATCACTTTTAATCACCAATCCATACTCTCAAGTGTATATGAAGATTAATCATATGAGAAATTTATTTTTATATCATTAGATTTCTTCCACATAATTAATGCTTTAAAAGGTTCATTTAAGAAAAAATAAAGTATAGTAATATTATCATAAAGTGTTGCAAGTAATTGAGGAAATCGATCCCATAACGGAGGATTTTTAATAATAATCTGTTCAGCTGTTAAAAGATTTTTCAAGGCTTGATCAAAGTCACCTTTTTTCATCCAACATAAACCAATTTGATATGATAAATCAATAAACCAAATAGATATAAAACTATTTTCATCATCAGGTAGTTGGTCAATAACCATCTGTTTAGTTTTTAAAAAGATTTCTAATGCATGACAAAAATCGCCTTTTCTCATTAAACATATACCAAATCTATATAACACATCAATATGTTGAATTGGTGTAAGATTATGTTCATTATTTAGTTGACATTGATAATCTTTCAATTCTGTTTCATTATTTGGGTTTATAATTGATCTATAATGTTCATCAACATCGTGTATTTGTTTCTGATAAATACAATTTTGAACTGATTGTTTCTTTTTTAAAAGTAAATCATTTAGTTTCTGATTAATATCTGATCGACAAATGTTATTTATACTTCCAACATTCAATGCTTGTTGATAACATGATATTGCACAATCAATATTTTCTATAGTATTCCAAACATCACCAATATGATTGTATAATTCAAGTGTTAATAAATTTTTTTCATCTAATAATGATAATACAATACCATACTGAAGAAAAGCACTATCATATGCAGAAAAATTATAATAAAGATAACCAATAATCATATGAATAACTTTTGATTGAGAACTATCAATAGAAATATTTCCTATGAGAAGATATTTTTTGTATAATTCAATTGCTTTTTCATAACACCCTAAATTACTAAATATAAAAGCAACATAAATATATATCATATTTAAAGATTCATTATTTAAACAGAATTCTTCTCCTGTCAATATATTGTAATATTGTTTGATCAAACGAAAATCATCTGTTTTCATAAATACATTATGTTTGTTTTTAAAAACAGGAATATGATTTTGAAAATCAGATATTAAATTTTCGATGTGTTCACTTATTTCATTATTTAACGTAAGTTCAATAATCCATGTTGAATCATTTTCTTGTTGAATAGAATCAATGGAAAAAATAGTTCCCGGAAAAAATAAAATTTCTTGTTCATATGGCATTGAACTAAAACTAGAAATATCAATATAGGATTGAAATCTATTGTGAATATTAATTTTAAATAAAGCACTTAATCGAGCTCCACGAATGAATAAACGAGCAATTTCTTCATTACGTGTTGTTGATATAAATATATTCATTAAAATAAAAGGATCAGTATTTGATTGTAATCGTTTAAGATCATTTGCATTGAGAATTTGTCCTCGATAAACAATCAAAGGATATGTTTCTTGTTGTATTTCTGATAATTCTTGAAATTTCTTATATACACCTTTTAAAAAATATTGAAATCGACAAATAAAATGAATATTTTTCGTCCGAAATGCTTTATTCAATAGTCGATATAAGAATGAATCTTGTGTGTACCAATTTAGAATAGTTTCATTTGAACAATACATATTGAAAGAATTGATTTTTATTAATTCATTCTCGGAGTTTTGATACTCCAAACGACATTGATCTAGCATGATTTGTTTTAATTCTTCCATATTAACATTTGAAGATTGAATTAAATGATAAATAAAAGATTTATACCATAATATTGTTAAACTGTTACGATGTAAAGTTATTAATGATTCTTCAATATTATTTTCATTTAGAGACTATATATTTACTGGTAAATCACTTGTATAGAGTAATAATATATCTTTACGTAATCGATTCATTAATTCATCGATATTTTCGAATCTGTCAACTAATTTTAAATAGTTTTGTTTATTGCATTGAATGTTTTCATTTGATTTTTTTAAAATATAAATTGATTGTATCTGAGATAAATCTTCAAAACTTGATAAATATTCTAAATCCATGGGTAATATAAGAAGAAATTTACGTTCACTTTTAAATTTTCTTATATAACTTATACAAGCTTCACGACAATCAAATTGTTTTAGATAATTATCCGATATAGAGTTCGGAACAGCATCCAATGAAAGCCATATAATGTTAAAATCCTCATGATTTTGAATTTCATTTAATTCAGTAAATGATAGATTATATTTTTCCATTTTTGAAGTATCAACTGAAAGAATAATTATATTTATTCCTCCTCTTGCGCTTATCGAGGTATACATGCATTCTTTAACCTTTTATTATCTGTATTATTATTGTTATTATTACTGCTCTTTTTTTTTAAAGAAAGAGAAAAGACTCTTTTCGTGTTTAAGTTAATTTTCTTTACTAGCGCATGATGAGCGAGGGTTATCGAATGTTTGTGAACAATGAAGGAGCTCAGATTATAGTTGATGTAAAATCCGATAAATGCTACGCACTCTTGCGTAATAACTAATGTGCAGTAACATTGAATCATCAGCATCATTCATTAAATCTCGATCGTCGTTAATATGTCGAACAAATTGAAATTAATTCATCTGTATCTTGTAGAAATCGTTCGTTAGTGAGAACATCGTCTCAACGACATAATAGAGGCATATCGCAAAACAAATCGAATTACGAACATAAAGAAACAGAACAAGTTATCACGTTGCAAAAAAATTCAGAACAAAACATTCCACAAAATATACAATGAACAACGTTACTAACAGAGCATAGCAGCACACCGCATGAAACAATAAATACAATTATAAAAGAATGAAGAAAATAACAATGAATTACGTTTGAATCAATAAGCACAACAGGACAAGGACTTAACAGTAAGGGTGTGGTGGATGTAGTACATAGAAAAGAGCTGCACCCATATATACCCACCAATTTAGCAGATATATGAGCGATTAAATCAACATAATTAAAAGAAAACTACTCGACTATACATATGTGCACAAAGTATAGGATATTTTCCAGAGATTTTATGAAAGAAGAGCATGGTACACAACTATGTTCGGCAGCATTGATCACGTATTATGTGCATGTTCTTTTATTGATGTTAAGATCTATCCTATGTAAGATTATATATGAGACTGATATGATAACGCATATGTCTGGAAATGAATAGTTTCGCTATTTGTGCACTCAACCGTGATGAAGGTTTTATCATAAATTATACCACATTCATGGCTATGCAAAAATGTGAATTTTAAAATGCAACTGACGATCTTTATGTGTACAGTTTAAATGTTTTATTCAATAATAACAGTGTGTTACAGCAAATCAATTCTACAGATTTTTATACATAGTTAAACAAATACTATCAGAAGATATGAGTGTGAACATGAAACATGATGTTTATTATTACACTTGACCACCGAAACTCTCAAGTTGCATCTATTTCAGGCTCTTCTTTTTTTATAAGATTAGGTGATGACATTGTTGCAGTTGTTAATCGATCAGTTACTTTAACTTCTACCTTTGCGTAGAAATTGTCTCTTCTCCATTTGCATCTTCTATGAAAAATTAAATTTATTTTTCTCAAACAAAAGATAGAATTTAGAAACTAACCGAGCTTGAAACCAATTCATGATTTGGCTAAAAGAAAACAATGGGAAATATAAAATAAAACTAGATAAGATATAAATATTTACCGTTCAGTTAAAATAAGTGAATGAGCAATTTCGATACGTCTTCGACGACATAAATATTTTGAATAACGAAATTCTTTTTCTAATTCTGTTCAAATCAAATTTAACAGAACTTATTTATTAAGAAAAATTAAATATTATACCTGATAGTTGGTGTTGAGTAAAGTTCGTACGAAATCGTTTGAATTCTTCACGTGTCAGATTGATCACTAGAATAGAGATTTTGAGAGAGTAGAAAAGAACAACATAGAAAAATCAATGAACGAAATGAATGTTTTTTTTTAAAGTCGAAATTCAGAACAAAGATACTCATTTTGTAAGGGATTATCCATAAACAATATCTAGGCAAACATTGCTTTCTTTTTTATAAAATATTCACTTGAATTGATATTTTGCTGATAAGTAGAATTCGACAAGACTAGAAAATAACACATTATACGTACCTGGCATGGTCAGGCGTCTTGACGAGATATGTTCTGTAACTATATGCAGTATTTATTGATATCCCATCATGACTAGTCTAGTCTGTTTTGTTCAGTCATTTCGTTCAGACAAGGGAGCAGAATACGAAAAGCGAGAAATGAAAGTTAGATTCGACATCTGAGTGTAAAATATGACCTTTCCATACACGGACGTCAGGTTAGATGGTGTGCACAATGAGTTGAACTCTATAAAATATCGTTCGTAATGATACGGACAAATCTAAAACAGTATCTGAGATAGTTACGATGCTTTAGAAACTTGTTTAGATCATTGTGTTCTAGAGATATGCTTTAAATTTAAGTTCTGCAACAGAATTTTCACAAAACTTTGGTTATTTGTTTATTTGATTTTTATCGTATAATTTGATTAGTCTATCACATAATTCAACTATGACTAAATGATAGCTGAGTGGTATTTAGAATGTGTGTTCGAATTGAATCTTCTCTTTATACTTATATTATTTAGATTAGTACATCAGACTACAAAACATTTGATGTGGGTAAACTATCCGTCTCTTACTCACACCTTCAAGTAGATAGTATTCAAGTTCATATAAATACGAAATTCGGTACCAAGTTTGGTATCGAAATCACGATTTATATATTTTCGGATATCTTCCAATATTCATATTAAACATAATATCGAGTCGATTCGTTTCAAATTTTCTTTTCAATAATTTGATTTAATTTGAAAGACAAATGAACGGTAAACATGACCAAATTTACTACTAAGAGACCTCTACTAATCATTGTCAATGTGTTCGAAAAAAGATTATTAATGTTCACATCTCTACAAGATAGAAAGAAAGAATAGAACTTGTTCAAAATGCTCTTAATAATTCTCCAGAAAGACAAATATCGTTTTGTTTATTACTTGACTTTTCTCTGTCATAGATATTGCATCGATTATCTTCGATTGTTATTTTCAAAAACATGCAATTCTGAGGTCATCGTATGTATGTATACAATGACTAGGCAACTTCTTGTTTTTACGACACATATATATATATATAACGATCGTTTAATTAATATTTCTAAGTGAAAAACTGGAATGAGTAATAATATGAAACGTGCTCTTGACAATACTGGTAAGTATTATATATTTAATCTTCCTATTTAAAAATTGATTTATTATTTTCTTTGATAGAATTTGAATCATTACCACTGAAACATATTCATCGTACGGTAACTTCTTTACTTGATTTACCAAATGAAATGTTACTTTTCATTTATCATTATTTGTCGACAACTGATATTCTTCGTGCATTTTATACACCTTCAAATTGTGAATTACGACTTCATCGTTTATCATATGATCATTTCAAATACATCAAACTTGATGGATTAACAAATGATGAATTCGTTTATATATCAACACTATTTTCTGATCATGCAAATCCTCTTCGACCACAATCATTAATATTGAGTAATAAACATGTTACTTGTCTAATAAGTTCTTATTTTACTTCCATAACTGATAATGTTATTCAATCAATATTTATTCATTTAACAAGTCTAATATTAATTAATTGTTCGACAGAAAATCTTCATTCTCTTAATAAATATATTACACATCTAACACAACTAAAATATTTGCATATAACTATTCAAAAACCTGATATGGATATTGGTATATTTAGTGAAGAAATTCTATTGAAATAAAATCCTATACTATCGTTCTGTTTAGAAATGAATCATCTTAAAACATGTAACAGGTTGGTAAATGAATTTCTATTCGAAGAAAATCTTGTTTCTATTCATACAATTCATTATGAAATCTATTATGGACTTTCCTTAACCTATGCATTGAAGCGTCATATAAATCTTCGACATGTTCATCTTGTTCTTGCAACTATTGATGATTTGTATATATTATTAAATGGTCTTATTCCAAATGTTCAAATTTTAATTATTGAATTATTTCAAACAAAAATATCTTGTCAGTTAAATATATAGAAGAAATTACTGAAATATTTTTTTTAGCCACTCATCTTTGTCAAAATCCATCTGCAATATATTCTCATTTAACTCAATTTACATTATTGGAATCATCTACTGAATTTAAGATTGATAATATCAAATCTATTCTTGGTTATATGACAAATTTAGTTGTATTAACTTTAAGTATTCATGATACATATGATCCATTATTTTGTCATGGTCCAATTATGGAATCAATGCTAACAGAATATCTTCCATATCTTCGTCAATTTTATTATACAATGACTCACCAAATGACTGATGATTTATTAATCCAAGATTTTCATCGATGGCCAATGAATGTGATATTTTATGGTATGGAACATTCGAAATGGATACATATTCATTCATTACCATGGCCAGCAAGTAAAAACGATCAACGACGATTACCTATTATTAGAATTGGAGCAAAACTACCAGTATCATCAGAAGTCAAAAGATATGAATATACGAGATATGCAGTAATTACAGAGGGACATGACTTTTCTCCATTAAATACAGAATTTCGTTATTCTTATAAAATGCTCACTTCTTTATCAATTGATATTAAGTTACCATTACGTATTCATAAATTAATTCTCTCAAGACAATTAGGTAAGTATCTTTTATTAAATGAGATAATTGTTGATAAAATAATTTTGTAGCTACTTTGACAATGAATTCGATAGTTCAACCGTCAATTGATCATTTAATTGTTGAAAGTTCTTTAAAAAATGATGAAGAAATGTTAGCACTTGCTCATCAATTTCCCAATGTTAAATATCTCGAATTAAATCTTCCATACAACAAATCTTCATTTATGAATTGTTTGAATATTCTTAGTAATCGATATGATATTCATAAAAAGAATAATTGTTTATGGTCAAAATTGATTCATGTTTCAACACAATTATTTGATACACAAGAAGAGTTCATTTTTAATGACAAGCAATTGTATGATTGGTTTATTCGATATGCAAATTTAAAAGATGATAAAGATATTTTTAAAACGTATGGTTATCCATCAACTTTATCTATTTGGTATTAATTATTTTCATATTGAAATAAAATCATCTCAATTTCTATTTGTATTCAATACTTTTCTTTCGCCTATTTTCAAAATAATCAGATATTTGAATAAAGAATATTAGAAATGACTTTTAGTCTCGAGGATGTGAAGTAGTTACGATATGTCTACTAGCACCCATCTACCATTTTTACTAGTATATTTTTCTGACGCTAAGGGTGGATGTGGATGTAGGTGGATGCTGGGTGGAAACAGTATCCACATCCATACGCACACCTACACTCTGTTTCGGAAAACAACTTTTTTGAGTGTTTGGTACATTGATTTTCGGTGATTGCTTCATCAACAGATAGCCTAAAATCGATCCTGTCAGTCTAGACTAATCTAAAAAGTTTAGGTCAAAATTATGAATTCCTTATTTTGCACACAAACCTAGCTAAGAAAATTTTTTGTATACATTTATTCCACATGGGGTAATAGTATAATTCTCATTAGACTTGTGGGAGAAATGTAGAAACTCAGTCTTATGAGAAGGATTTTGTAAAAACAAATTTCTAAAAATATTTTATAGATTTTCCGCGTTTTTCAAACATGAAAATCTTTAGTTTTTAATGGTCTATCAGTGTAGAGCTTTTCTATGACACTTCAAAGATATCATGTTTTGTTTTTAAAACAATATTCTAAAATACTATCTAATAATATTAGTTTAGATATTTTATTAAATTCTGAGGGAATAAATAAATATTGTAGAAGAAAAATATATAAAGAAGTGGTTAGTCAGACATAGTATAAGACAGAGAAGATCAGCAATATAAAGTGATGACTAGAAATTTGCATATTATTAAAAATGTGTCATGATAATAGTAGTATCGAGTAAACAGTACTCGCATTGATGATAAAAAGAAACAGAAGAATTGTAAGGGGAGCGTAGACATTCAATGCAACATAAACGACTACATGAACTACATTTTAAGAATTGTCTACTATTAAAATATATCATGTTATTGCACTTATAACAGACGTGATAGCTAACATAATAAGCATTTCGTTGATTTTGAATTAAATGTGAATCATATGAACTATTTATATTGCAATGAGGTATACTTCCATAAGAAGTCGATAAAGGAAAACCATTTTGTTGTAGATTAGGATGAATTAGTGCATTCATGAATGTTGTTAAATAATTGAGGGTTTGATGTGGGTGAATGTGGGGTAAGAGCGAACAGGTCCGAATTGCCTGCAATCACGCCCACACCCACTCTCAAGATGGTTAATAGTAGCACATGCAATTGAAAGTTATTGTTTGAGATATGGTAATAAAGAATTTTGATTGCTTAATTCGTGAGTTTGCTGTCTTCATCACCCATCTAATTTTCGTTATGTATCTTGATTGATCTGCCTTGGCTGCTGTAAACTGATAACAGCCATTAAGAAATGGAGGCAGAGCTACATTCAAATCCGAGTCATTCCATTATACCTAGTAAATCTCAGAAGCTACTATCAGCATATTATAAGATCAAACTTTTTTCAACCAATTTAATATTTGTTCCGTATTTCTATATAAAATATTATTCATAATTCAGAGGTTTTTATGTTTCAAATATTATTTGTCATCTACTTATTAAAAGTTGATTATCAATAGACGATAGATTTAAACGTTAAATTGATGATGGTGCGATATAGTCAATAACTGCCATTGACAATTAAATATTCGAATAAATTTAATTTATAAAAATCTTTTTCTTTTGAATATATAACATATTTTAATAATAAAAATAGATATGACAGTGATAAATAAATATAATTTCATTTAAATAATTATCTAAACATAAATTTCTATTAAAGTAATATAATATATATTCAAAATAACTTTATAAAAATTTTCTTTTATAAAAAAAACATTGACTAGTAAGAATTAATATTTATTATTATCATTATTAACGATTATATAACATAAGAATTATAACTGATGTATAAGAAAATATTCTCTTGAAAAACTTTAAAATAATCAATCATGTGCATCTAATTATAGATATTTGTTTATGTTTTGTTTTGTTCCATTCTGTTCTGTTCGTTTTCATTTATGCTTAATTAAATTTATATTCTTTTTCGTATCATTTTTATCATTGTTTGCGCACTGCAATTATATTACATCAATAATACACATGATTCTGCAAAGGTAAATACATTAATATAATGTGAAATATATGTATTGATGTGTAAGTTAAATCAAAACAAAAACATCCATTTCTACACTAACGATGAATTTTTGTTTTTTATTCAAAAGAATTTCAGTCATAACATCATCGTATGATTTTTTTTCTGAAAATTAGTAATTTTTGGCTCATATACTCTCTCCTAAAGTTCAACAAAGAGCCAAGTCCTAAAAGAAGACAAAATTTAACAGATCAATCTGTGTTTTATATGTAACAATAGTTTCTGAATCTGAATAACATAAATCTTAAAAGTATCAAATGACACAACTCTTCCTTTCTACTAATACCAAAATACTTCCAAAATATTCGTTTTTGTTTATTAACGAATAAATATTTTTGAGAATTCTCCTAATTATTGCACAAAATAATTGCACATAAAACGAAACAAAAACATCGTCCAATTACAAGCTTTCGATTATGACTACCTAC